GCAAGCTAGCTAGCTTACAGAACTTATCATTGGCCGGGAATAATTTCTCTGGCCCAATTCCTGTCTCAATTGCAGGGATGTCATCGATCCTATCTTTGGACTTGAGCCGTAACTCTTTTTCTGGGGCACTGCCAGCTTCTTTGACTAAGCTGGATAGCCTGGCATCTCTCAATTTGTCTCATAACAGCTTCACTGGAAAGATTCCCAAAGGCTTTGATTTGATGTCTGCTCTTGAAAAGGTTGACTTGCACGGGAATATGCTTGATGGTCAACTAGATATTAAATTTATGCTTTTTACAAGCGCCAGCTATGTTGATTTTAGTGATAATATGTTAGTGAGTTCTAACTCCCAGCAACAGAGGTTTCTACCCCGAATCTCTGAAAGTATCAAGTATTTGAATTTAAGCCACAACCAGCTGATTGGATTGTTGGATGGTGAAGGAGAGCAGCCACTTTTTGAAGACCTGAAGGTGTTGGATCTTAGCTACAATCAATTGTCTGGAGAACTGCCTGAATTTGAATTTGTCTATGATCTCCAGGTCCTTAGGCTTAGCAGCAACAGATTTTCAGGATTTCTTCCAAATGGCCTGCTCAAGGGAGACCCTTTGGTTATAACCGAACTAGATTTGAGTGCCAACAACCTCTCAGGTAGATAGACAACATCTAATTGTCCCTTCTTTTTAAATAATTAATCTATGATATTTTACTTTCAAAACTGGTGGCCACTGCCATCTTTAGACAGTCCATTGCTAGGATTGCCTCTCATCTTATTGAAGTTTTGTCACAGGGCCAATAGGATTAATCACATCAATGACATTGCGCTTTGTGAATCTCTCATCAAATGGTTTCACTGGTGAGCTGCCACTTCTAACAGGGAGCTGTGCAGTTCTTGATCTTTCAAATAACAAACTAGAAGGAAATTTATCCAGGATGGTGAAATGGGGAAATATAGAATTTCTGGATCTCAGTAGGAATCATTTGACTGGGCCCTTTCCCGGGGAAACTCCTCAATTTTTACGATTGAATTATCTGAATTTCTCCCATAATTCTCTTAGCAGCTTCCTCCCTAGTGTCTTAACACAGTATCCGAAGCTAAGAGTGCTTGATGTTAGTTCTAACCAGTTAGATGGACAGCTTCCTGATAAGCTGCTTGATATGCCAACTTTGCAAGAGCTTCATCTTGAAAATAATTTGATTGCAGGTGGCATTAATTTATCATCTGCCCCTGGTCAATCTGATCTTCAGATTCTTGAACTTTCTCACAACCAATTTAATGGGTACTTTCCTGAAAATTTTGGATCATTAACTGGCCTGAAAGTGCTCAATATTGCTGGAAATAATTTTTCTGGTTCTCTTCCAACTACCATTGACATGAGTTCATTAGATTCATTGGATATATCAGAGAATCATTTTACAGGTCCATTACCAACTAACCTGCCAAAGGGACTAACAAACTTCAATGCTTCATACAATGATCTGTCTGGTATTGTCCCAGAAAATCTTAGGAAGTTCCCTAGTTCTTCTTTCTATCCTGGGAATACTCGGTTGTATTTCCCAAATGGTCCTCCTGGATCAACCAATATTCCCTCCGAAGGTTCCAAGAAGAAGCCTTTCAGCACTATCATTAAAGTAATAATTATAGTATCATGTGTGGTTGCACTGTTCATAGTAATCCTACTTGCAATCTTCATAAATTACATACGGATATCAAGATCTCCACCAGACTATGCTGCTAGCAAGGATACACATAGGCATGCTCAACCAAACTTACCTGGCATAGGCCGTGCAACAGACAGGGGTGGTGCTTTGGTTGTATCAGCTGAGGATCTTGTGACCTCGAGGAAAGGATCATCGTCAGAGATAATCAGCCCAGATGAGAAATTGGCAGCCACAACTGCTATGTCCCCATCAAAAAACAGTCATTTTTCCTGGTCACCAGGGTCTGGTGATTCATTCACTGCTGAAAATTTTGCACGACTTGATGTGAGATCACCTGATAAGTTAATTGGCGAGCTGCATTTTCTTGATGATACAATAACATTGACCCCTGAGGAACTTTCAAGGGCCCCTGCTGAAGTTTTGGGGAGAAGCAGTCATGGAACTTCTTATAAGGCTACTCTGGAGAATGGGTTATTACTGAGAGTGAAGTGGCTGAGAGAAGGAGTGGCAAAGCAGAGAAAAGAATTTGCTAAAGAGGCTAAAAAGTTTTCAAACATCAGGCACCCAAATGTTGTGGGATTGAGAGGATATTATTGGGGTCCTACACAGCATGAGAAGCTTATTCTTTCAGATTACATTTCTCCTGGAAGTCTTGCAACTTTTCTTTATGGTAATGTCAATTCTCCTTCCTTCCAATGTAATCAGACCCATGCATCTGGAAGTAAACAGTGGGAAATTTGGTTAGGGAGAGTAAGATCCATTAAAGGGTCGGAAACTGATAATTTGGTTGATTAAAACCTGTTAATTTCAGTCATAATTGGCCATGGACATGATACTTGCATTTAAAAATTGTCAACCTATCCCACAAGAGAGACTTGCAATGTCAAATCGTGTAAAGGGGAACTCATGATAAGAATGAGTATAACAAAAAAGAGATGATAACAATTTCTTTATTGATGAGTATAGCAAATTTTATGCGTTGCCTGTGCCTTTGTACATTCATGTTTTAGTTCCTCTGTATATCAGTTTTGCTTGATAAAAAAAAAAAAATCGTTTGTCCATGAAATTGCATCCATTTTATTCTAATGTTATAGTTTGTATTCATCGTTCTTCGTGATTTGAACTTACTCCATTTGCATATCATGATACTAGATCGACCAGGAAGAAAAGGTCCACCATTAACCTGGCCCCAGAGGCTCAAAATAGCAGTTGATGTAGCACGTGGCCTGAACTATCTCCACTTTGATCGTGCTGTTCCTCATGGGAACCTAAAAGCAACAAATGTTCTGTTAGATACACCTGATTTGAATGCAAGAGTTGCTGATTACTGCCTTCACCGGCTTATGACTCAGGCTGGTACTACTGAACAGATTCTTGATGCCGGGGTTTTGGGATACCGTGCGCCAGAGTTAGCTGCTTCCAAAAAGCCAGCTCCCTCCTTTAAATCAGATGTTTACGCCTTTGGAGTGATACTTTTGGAACTTTTAACGGGAAGGTGTGCTGGTGATGTGATATCAGGTGAGGATGGAGGAGTTGATATGACTGATTGGGTGAGGTTGCGTGTGGCAGAAGGTCGAGGATCAGAATGTTTTGATGCTGCATTGATGCCAGAAATGGGAAATCCAGTTGCGGAAAAGGGAATGAAGGATTTCTTAGGAATAGCTCTACGATGCATTCGAACTGTTTCTGAGAGGCCAGGTATCAAGACCATATATGAAGACCTTTCATCTATATAGCGGCATGCACATCCTAACTACGTAGGTTTTGACGTGTGGGAATTAATATCTCATTGGTGTCCCATTTGAATTAGAGTTTAGCTCTTAAACATTTTAAGTTTATTGTATTAACTCTTGTTTAAAATTTGAGAATGCATATATCTGTCTGCCGCATGATGGGTTATTATTATTTCCTCCTTTTGTCTGTCACGAAGATGTGCCATGACTATGAAGATGATCATTTTGCATTTTCGATGGACTAAGGCAGGATTACTTGTTAAGTAGGCCTTGAAATGGTTAGAAGTATCATTATTACCTTTGCTAAGAGTGTTCATTTTAAATATCTTAGTTATTATTACTGACTTGTTGGCATGTACTAAAAATATAAAGTTGTGTTCCGAGTTCTCTAGTTTTGAAGTCCTGATAGTGTGGGTATTCATCGTAGCATAATGGTTGTAAGTAACTAGGACATTTGATTTCAAGCTGCGCTTGTCTGTCTAAAAGCGAACGATGTTTGTGACATTCAAATACAGTTAAGCTTTTGACAAATTTATAATAGCATACAAGACAAGAAAAGTAGAACTGAAGTTGCATGAATCCATCGTTATCCCTGTCCTTCAACTCCCTTTAACAAAATTTTGGTTCCGCCTTCCGATGAGAGTACAGGTTTAGGTAGTCTGGCTTGTTTTGATCCAGCAATTCTAGATTTACTCTCTACTGTCCTACTTATAAAGCAAAATTTTAAAGCCTTTATTTGGTTTTAAATGTCAGAAAATACTGAGGTTACATTTTTTTTAAAAAAAAAAATATTGCCCTTCTTAATTGTACTGAGTTATTGGCAAATTTTTATTACCAAGTTGTATGTACATATGTATGTACGTACAATTTTACACACTAGTGTACGTATATGTTTCTCTCCAAAGTCCAAATATCATCTATAATAATTTCTATGACTACTGAATTTTGATTCTGAGACATTCAGAGACAAATTAATATCTTGGTAGTGACTTGTTTACAAGAGAATCTCACTTAGGACCCCTTTTAGCACAAAATTTTGAATTTAGGACCCAATACAATATGAAAATTCTCTATAGGCCTAAAGATTTTAAGTAAAAATGTTTTAATGAGAAAAAAAAATGTGTTTGCCCTTTGTGGTGAGTATTTATAAATATTGTGTTATACATTTATGAATATTTTATTACTCTTTCATCTTATGCAACTTGTACATTTCAAATTCAACCATTTCTATTCCAATTGTATATTACCAAACATTGTATTGAAATTTTATGAACATTTTATTGTATATTCATAGACATCTGTTATTATTTCATCCCGCACAACGTGTACATTTTAAATTGAACAATTTTCATTAAATCAATTATACATTACAAGACATTGTGTTGAAAATTTATAACCATTGTGTTGTGCATTCATAAAAAGAGGGAGGGCAAATGCAACTTTTTTTGTTAAAACATATTTTCACTTAAGGCCTCAAGCTTGTAGAAAGTTTCCAGATTACATAGGATCCTAAATACAAATTTATATGCTCTTAGAGGCCTAAGTGAGATTCCCCCTTGTTAATACCTTGTAGATTCTTGGCAGGTCCCGCTCTTTTGAGCGATAATTACGTTTATCTCCACAAATAATTATTAAAAAGGCACCCAGCGTCTCGTAGTACTTGAAATTATGAGGTTACAAGAAAGATTAACTTACTTGCCTAGTCATTTAACGGAAACAACTACCCACTACAATATGAAATAGCTTATTTTCAATTTTACATAAAAACATTCCTTTTTTTTTGGATGTATTGTTGTATTGGACACATATACAGCAACACTTTTATTGACCACAAGGCTCGTCCAATCCAGAGTAATAATGGCGAAAAGCACATGAAAAGTCTTCAGCCTCATGCCCATCCACGCAGAGTTCTCTATATCTGGAGCAAAACAATTTGTTCATCAGCAAACAAACATCAATTATTTAATCCGATACTGTCAACTTTTCAATCTGCATCTTTGAACGTCGTAAGTGAATGGCCATAGTATATTTAGAAAGAGAGATGGGAAAAAACAAAGATGAATGTTAAAATTCAACGTGGAGTTTATAGACAGTCGCATTATTTTGTATAAATCTTTCTGAATGTATACATGTAAATAATTCAATCTGATAATTTTTACATCAAGGTTATGGAAGAAGAGGGGCTTACATTTCTTGTGCTTGAGATGTCAATGGATATTTACAGCCAGCTTGTTTGGCTGATTCTACTGCAAGGTTTAAGTCTTTAGCCTGCATCACATTAACACAAAGTTTTGGGGTTATGTTCAACACCCTAAACATCGACAGCTTGTGCGCGCGCGCGCGCTTGAGATGTCAATGGATATTTACAGCCAGCTTGTTTGGCTGATTCTACTGCATCACATTAACTTCAAGAAATGCAAGGTAATTTTAATCCAAACTTTAATAAATCCATGTTTTATAGTTAAACAGAAAACTTGGGAGCAATTTATTACTATTTGGTTTGAGAATCCAAGGAATAGTACTTTAAGAGATGCAGTTACTTACCATAAGCCTGGATGCAAACCCACCATGATAGTCCCTTGAAGAGGGCACACCTTCCATCACACCAGGAACTGGGTTGTAACAAGCACTGAAATCATGCAACTACTACATATAAGTTTCATTACCAAAATTCCAAATCTTTCCTTGCTCTATGTGCGCGTGCTCCAATATTGCTCTAGTTTTCAATGTTTTGCACTAAAGCAAAACTCTACATATAACATTTCTGTCTGATTTAGTGAATGTTGCTGAAGGATTTCTATTTTTATTATCAGGATACGAACAGAAAAGTCAAATGGGTGGATATGTCCAGCAATTTTCATGTGATTTGTGAAAGATGCGGGTAAACATCCACTATGGTTGTGCTACAGATTGCTTATTTAAATTGATCTCATATGGAAAAAGGGAAGAATACCTACTCCAACAGTGAGCACTAGAGCAGTTAAATATTTTAGTCAAGGTGCTGGCAGAAACTCCAAGGGATTGGCCCAGAGCTAGGGCTTCTGACACTCCCAGCATACTCACAGCCAAAGCCAAATTATTACAGATCTTAGCTGCCTAATAACAAGACCAAGCCAACACTATAAAACGACGTCCCTGTATCAACTGCAAGGATAACATACATCTATACTAACAAATAAAATTGTTCCAAATAAAAATTTTCAATTTGAATAGATTTTCATCATTTACAAATCACTATCAGCAAACTAACAGAAAAAGAAATTAATGTAACAATAAATGAATTTATCTGTTCAAAAATTATCATAATTTTAGATATAATTTCTCAAACTGACACCTTTTTTTTATAAGATTCGTAAAGAAGCCTATAAAAGCAGCATTTACAGCATTGACATTTTTTTTTTTGGCCAATATATACAGCATTGAAAAGTTTAAAGTTCAAGTTCAAAGATGTAACATACAGAACCACTTCCTGCTCCTCCACAATATATTGCACTTTTGCCCATTGAAAGGAATAAGGGTTTTGCAGCCAAAAAAGCTTCCTCAGAGCCACCTACCTGAGAAAGATCCAATTCTGGTTCATAAATTAGGTTTTCCAAAACGCAATAAATTTGCTTCAAACTTCAAAAGATTTAGCACTATTACCCTAATGCCCATGTATCTATTTCGATTTATCCACCTATCTGTTATTGCTTCAAATGCAATAACATGCATCATGTTTGTTTAGCTTATCAAAGTTCCAATGCACGATAAACATATGTGCATGGAATGGCTATTATCAATTCTTAATATCAAAATTATAACCAATATGCTAAATATATTGTCCCTAAAAAGAATGAGAATAAAAAAAGATTCTTAAACAACAGTTTTTGGGATCCCAGAATGAATTAGAAATTTAGAATTGAGTAGTATTCCATACCATAAAAGTTAGTGTTCCAGCTTCTGCAGCAATCACACTTCCAGAAACAGGAGCGTCCAACTTCATGGGAGTCTTCCAATCACCTGTGCATAATCATTTAGCTCAACAACGTAAAAAAAATAAAAAGCAAAGGGGACCAACTCAGAATACTAAAATTTTTAGAAAGTAGTTCATATACAACAGGAGGATCTTTGGAAACCCCTGGCATCCAGAAAGAAAAATTTACACCATAAAGAGCCTGCTGACCTTTTTTTTTCAAGCAAGACTAACTTGCAAATAATATGTTAGAAAATGTGGCTTAAAGTTCCAAAATAACTAATGATATGTCACTGATATCAATTATACCCCATTAGAATCTACTTGGTAAGAGGCATTTTCCTTCAATGACTAAGGAAGCTATCGCATATCATTTAGAAATTATTTTCAAGTGACCATACAAATTGATGAACTATCACCTTAAACATAAACTACTAAGTTCAAGTAACATGCTGTCACACAATATCTCGGATCATTAAGGCGACTTGAAGCATAACAAAAGTGGAAAACTGGACCCACTTTATGAGGAAAAAGGAGTGTAGCACTAAATACATGCATCATGACATTATGAAATCTAACAATTCGCCATTTGACACAGTGCTCCAATGAGGCAAATGAACTTTGTCAGCTTAAGAAATCAACTTCAGAAGAAGCAACCAGAAGAGCTTTACATATAAATAGTAGAAAGGCTAAATATGCACCATAATCAAAAAAGCAAGTTCTAGTGACCTAATACAAAACATGACAGTAGGACTGGGTAGGTGGCAACCAAATAATGGACATCCTGATGAGACAGGGCATTAAGTAGAACTCTGAAGAGCACTATAAAACTCCTCTCATGTTCGTATACACCCCCCCTGGAGTTACGAATGATATAACCAATGTATGGTATAGCCACAAATACTCTTACAAATTGGCATATCATTTGTCATGAGAAAAAAGTAATTACTAACATGGTAAATAAAATATATGGAGCAAGAAAAGCATGAAAACAGCTTGAAGGTCAACAATATTTCATTCATGGATACCTTTCTTTTCTTTTAAAAGACAATTAGATATTGTAACAGAAAGGCTTCTTGATGATTGAGGATCAATAGTGGATGAATCTATCAATAACCATGGCCTTAGGACTCTCCCAGCTTGAAGCAAACCATTTGGTCCAGTGTAAACATCAAGCACCTAGTTAAGTTAGATGAGTGTGTTATTCTGGAGTTAGTACACAGTCAAAGGTAAGAAGACCAACAGCAATAAGACATTTCTCCAAACTTGTTATATTCTAACTAAGAATTTTATGTACATAGCTTATTAGCAGATCAGTATTCACATTGATAAAGTTTTGCAGTTTGCGGTTTGCTCCAACTAAATAGATGCCACCATGAATATAGAGCTAATTGACATTTAAAAAATGGAAGTTTTGTCCAAAAGGTAAAAAAGTTATATTTCATAAATGCTGAGGAACTGAAGAGTCTTCATGAAGTCAACACTTAAGGAAAAAGCCCGCTGTTTTTGCAGAAAAGGAAATGCCATTGGTATGACTGTACTCACGTGGGCAGAAGAAGGCAACATTGTAATTACTGCATCACTAGCTTCTGCAACTTCAAAAGGTGTTTTCATAGTGGGAACTCCCATCTGAGAGAACTTGTCAGTAACATCAGAGTTTCTGCAATATTTTCAAATTTGATGGACATCATACAAAGATATTCTCGATGGATCAACAAGGATTGAGTAGCCTACTTAAATGAACAGCAAGTTTGTACTTTCCCAGTGATCAATGAAACAATTCAATAAATAAAGAACATAACAAGTGTAAATTAAGTACATGTCTTGAACTGTAACTCGGTATCCAGCTTTAATCAGATTATTCGCCATTCTGGATCCCATATTTCCGAGACCAATGAATCCAACATTCTGTAATGCATCATTGAAAGGATAAATATCGAAATTTTCAGAATATGCATCCTTGAGTGGAGAAATATCAAAATTTACAGCATATGCATCATTGATCCCAGTAAACTTCACCACCAATGCTCCAACACCATATATTTAACACAATAGGAAAACTATCGATGATCTATCAAGCATTGTACAAGTAGCTTACACATTTATCTTTGAGGCCCTTAAGAACCTAACAAAAGAAGACAAAAGACACTGTCGTCTAACATCAACAAGAACTGATAGAAGAAATATGAACTCACACTTTACATTGATTACTTGACCCGGACTTATTAATAAAAGCAATATATCGATCAACTAAATTGATAGGAAAACCATATCTTTATTGGGTGTCAAACATCAAGACACCGAGAAGAAAAAAGAATTGCAAACAATAATAATATCAAGCCAACCAATTTTCTCTTATACCCAGTCAAGAATCAGCGAAAGGTTTGAGAGACAACAAGAGCAGAGTAGACATGGTTTACGTACCTCCAAAAGGGGGGGGATTCGGGAAGAAGACAATCTGCATGTTGGGAAGGATTGAAGCCCAAGAGATTTGCGTCTAGGAAGAGGAACTAGTGATCTCAACCTGCAAATGGCCATCGTTATCCTTCGCAATACCAGCAGACAAAGCTCGAGTTGCGAGTAGACCGTGGTGACAAAAATGAGTCAATTTTTGTCATGCTCATCGCGCTTTGAATTCCTTTTGTTTAAACGAGCAACGATTTGATCGGTGTTATGACTAGAAAATACCACGTGCCACGCAGGGGGTTAATGAGAACTTCATGGCTGGTGTGGTGACCTTATTGTTGCCAGATACAACCAATATAAAATCTATTTTTAACAAAGTCCAAAAAAAAAAAATATTATAATTATAATAATTTTTTTAATTTGAATTTTTTTGTTAGCATTCTTTTTAAATCGTGCGGCCCATCAGTAAAAAGTGGAGAGTGAAAGACATAATGTGGATTGATGTGAGCTCACCAATAAAAAAATCTAAGAGAATAAAAAAGAGAGAGGCTATTTTCAAACCAAAATGTGGGTTCATTAACAAATAATTGAGAGTGGAAATAAGAATTATTTACCCAAAAAATTAGCATTTGCAATATAGACTCTCTTCATTTAGGTAAACGATTCCCAACCTTATTCTCTGCAAAAATATATAAGTTATTCTAATTTTTTTTCCCAAATATAAGTTATCTAATTGTAATATAAAAATATTTAATATGATATTATAAAATATATCATAAATTTTTTTTATAAAATGTACTCCACCGTTAAAAAATGTAAAGTTTTTTTTAGGAATTGAATATTTAAAAATGTAAAGTATTTTTAATTTTTTAAAATGTAATTATTGTGCTTTTTTTAAGAGTGCCCCTAATAAATAGGTCACTTCATATTTATTTTAAAGTGATGTCATGTTAAATAGAAATAAATATAAAAAAAATAGTATTAGTTTAAAGATAACAAACTACTATGGTGAGAGGTGAGATTTGATTAAAAATGTCTTACATTTTTTAACTGAAGGAGTAAGTAATTCTAATAATAACTTGTTATTTTTTTATTAAGGATGATCAAATATGTGATTTGGTTCGACTTTGGTTAAAAACATGAACCAAACCAAATCAACTAATCTACATAAAAGATGATACTTGGTTAGTTTTTTTTTATTAAGATCGCTTTGGTTCAATTTTTATACAGTTCAAGTTTCAATATTTTTTTAATTTGTAAAATATATATTAAGACTAACAATAATTTTTTACCTTTTTTTCATATTCTAATTTCAAATCACATTCTCAACTTTCTCATTCATGAATGTAAATAAATATATCCAAAACAAAAATATTCAAATTTCATTATTGAAACACACCAAAACAAATAGACACCGCAAGTATGCAGGTCATAAATATAGTTAAAAATAAATCAAGATTAATCCCATAAAGAATTAAGTAAAATGATGAACAGGTATTAAATTTTCAATTTCATTCAAGTCAAGCAAATCATAATGAAAAGTTTATAAACTTAAAAAGTTAACAAATAAGATATAAAGGCAAATAATTTCACCAAACAATAATTTCATTGAAGAAATGACCTAAGCTCATGCTCCCTTGTTTAATTATATTCTTAGACTTTAACTTTACCGAATTACTCATAGTTAATATTGACTAGTCAATCTAGAGTCCATTTAGTTGAAATTGTCTTCTAAATCAATTACAAGGTCCTCTTAAATAAGAATGTTAATTTTAACACAATTATCCCAAAAGTATAAAAGTTCAATAACACTCTAACATGATTATATAAGTCTAAGAGATATATTCATATATAAATAGAAAATTAAAATAAATTTTAATCTCAAGGTTTATCTAAAATTTTCTTTTCCAAGATAAATCATGAACCCTTGAATCTCGACTTAATGATAGCCAACCATCAAGCAAAACACAATAAATAAGATTAAGTAACCCAAAAACTAACATTAATCATACAATAATACGAGAAAATAATATCTAATACTTAAATAAGTTTATAGTTGCTTAAGTCATGAAGAAAATTTAGCTAATAAAATAAATTAAAATACTCCCTTTATTAAAAAATGTAAGGCATTTTTTGAGGAGTTGAATGTTAAAAAATATAAAGCATTTTTATTCTTTCGAGGTGTAATAATTGTCTTTTTTTTAAGTGCCCCTATTGATCATAACTTTATATTTATTGTAGAGTGTTTAATAAGGGTAAATGTGAAAAGATAGGATTAGTTTGAAAGCAGCTAACTACCTTATTGAGAGTCAAATTTAATTAAAGATACTTTATATTTTTTAACGGAGAAAGTATAATATTTACAAGACAAGCTAATTAAACATTAAACACAAAAAATTTAACCAAAAAAAAAAACTAGATAACTCTCTAATTTACCAATGAAACTCCTTAAACTACATGAAAATATAGAGAGTCATCAATTATTATTAAACACCAAAGTACATGCATTTATAAGTAACACGAGTTAAATTTTATTACAAATTGTTTTAATCTCTATAATGAAAAGTAATTTGTTTTAAATAATAAAGGGGGAAATTCTATATAAAATTATCTAAAAGATTATTCTTAAAGTAACATGAATATATACGTTCGACTTTCTAATTGCAAAATTAAGAAAGGAAGGGTTAGAAATTCTATTAAAATATTTTGGATTTGGCCAAGATTTTAGTTGAAGTTAGAATTAAAAAAATAAACACTAATAATTTAATATTAATAATAAAAACTACATTTTAAAATATAAAAGGTATTATTCAAGTTTGAAAGACAAAAACCAAAATTTGAAACCAAAATTTGAACTAAAACATTTGGTTTTTAAATTTATAAAATTAAACCAAGCCATTTTAATGATTGGTTTTATTGGATTGGTTTGAATTGGTTTGGTATGTTCAGGTTAATTCGGTTTTGCTCACCTTTATTTTTTACAGTCTGTTGCCCCAAAACAAAATATCAATCTAACAATTTGTTATTACTTATTACCCCATTCATATTTTACTTCAAGAGTTACTGCTCATGACAAATACACGATAAGTTGTTCTGATAAAAATTTATTATTTTTTAAATAATTTTTTGCTCTTCTATATACTTAAAAATATAAAAAACTTGCTTATAAAAAATAAAAAATTATTTTATTTCGGAATATATTATCCATGCAAAATTTAAAAATGACTCTAATTTAAAAGTTAGATAAATAAAATATATGTTATTATAATAACATAATAAAAAATAATTTATTAAATGGTAGTAGAAGTCACGGTTAGACATGTTTTAATTTTTTAAAATAAAACAGAAAGAAAATATTTTAATTTAATAAGAAATAATTAATTATTAAGACATCAAGATTCAAAATACCCACAAAAGTTGCAAATATTTTGAAATTTCAACTTTCGTGGATTTTATTATTTATTAATTTTTCAAAAGAAAAAATCATGGCCAAAATAAGAATGTGATATGATTGGAATGTGATTGTGTTCAAATTTGCAATCTGATATTTAGAATTACTTTTTGTTTTAAACCTGAAATATAAATTACACTGAACAAATCGATTACTATGGAAAAGAAGGAATCGCTTTGCATGAAGATTAAGAAAAAGAGTTTATGATTTACCAAAAAAAAAAAGAAAAGAAAAAGAGTTTATGATAAAAATATTAAATCACTAGTGCAGATAATTATGCGATATGATCGAAGCGGGAAGGCAACACGTCAGAATGGAGTGATCATTTATGCCTCCTAATGTTTCGTACTTCTTTTTTTTTTTTTTGGCTTTTGTTTTTTTTTTTTTCCAGTCTTATGTTTAGCTTCTTGCATAAGAAGAGGAAATAAAGAAAAGAAGAGATGAGAGGATATACTTTTCTCTCATTATATTTTACTAAATAAGAAAGAATTAGAAGAAGAGAAAAGTTATTAATTTTGTATAGACAATAATAACTTTATTATTTATAAAATATTTATATAATAAAATTTAATATTTTAATATATTATATATATAATAATTTTTATTATATATTATTGACTAAATAAAAATATTGTTAAAAATTATTTTATCTACAAAAATTATTTTATTCAATTTAAAATTTTATTTATTTAATTATTAAATATATAATAATATTAAAATTTGAAACTATAACTAAATATAAAGTATTTAACTGAAAATTAACTTAAAAATGTAGAATTGGTATTTGCTTAATTAGTCTAAAAATTAAATATATTGCTTGTTTGACAAAAGTTTATGATTAAAATATAACTATATTACAAATATCATAATAAAAATAAAGGAAAGCAAGAGGCAGCAATAAAAAATTGATAGGTAAATTTAAAAATAAAATTTTCTCTCCATATTTAGAGAAAAAAATTGAAGGTAAAAATATGTGGATCCTATATGTTATTTTTCTATCATTTTTTTCTTAATAACCAGGAAAACATACTGTTTTCTAATTTTCTCCCCACTTTTTCCTCCCCCTCATTTTTCCCTCCTACCAAGCATAACATTGATGTTTGGTACTTCATAACTTGATTTCTCTTCACTATAATTTCTTTCCATTATTTCTGTTTTATAAATCTGAATTATTCTAATCTAAATTTAAAAATATAAATTAATATGTATTTTTAAAAATTATCAAATTTAAATAATTGAATTTTTTATTTAGATATACAGCGTTTTCTTCACTAAAATGACTGCAATATATATATATATATATATATATCACCAACATCATCGCCAATAATGATCCCTTGATCTTTGTACTGGACTGGTAGTTTTCTTTTTTCCCTTTTCCCCACTCATCCCTCTTTATGGCAGTTAAATGACATTAATATGTAAAAAAAACATTAACAATAAAAATATAACTTTATAAATTAATAAAAGTTAATTTAAAGAAGTTAGTCTACACTCCAAAATAATATGTGCTTAAATCTTTTCTTTTTTGACAATCTACAAATATATCTATTAGTAAGATTTAACTCAATTCGGTTTTTTTTTATCAACCAAGTCCAAAAGAATATAATTGACAACAAAATAAAAATATGCTAATAAAATATCATGGTAAGTTCAACAATTTTAGCTGCCTTTTTCTTTATTTATAGCAATAAATCAAAATAAAGGAATAAAAAAAAAAGAAACGAAAAGCTTGCCAAAAACATTAAAATGCCAAAAAAGGGAAAATCTCATCTAGGTTCCCAGAAGAGAAAAACTTGCACGTAGACCCTAATGCATTTTGAAATTATTTTTTAAGTCTAAATGCCTTTTGCAATTATGTTTTAGGAAGAAAAAATACAATTATTCTTAATGAGAAAGAAAAAATTTTAGATTTACTATCTATGAATATGTAAATTTAAAGTTGTGAATTTGTGAATATCTAATTGTAAAAATTTAAACCTTAGTTCTGAATATATGAAGACATAAATTCTGAATTTTGACTTATATATAGAATAGATGAATCTATAATTATAAATATTCAAACTTTAAATTGTAAATTTATTAAATTGGCCAAGACAAACTTGTAAATTCTGAATAAGAATTTCACCATCAATGAACAATTCCTTATTGATATGTAAATACAAAATTGTGAATTTATGAACATGTAATTGTAAAAATTTAAATTTATTGTCATGATAAACCTTAATTTTAAATATGTAAAGTAATGAATTTTAGACTTTAACTTGCAAATATTTCAACTTTAAATTATAAATTTATTAAACTAATCAAGATAAACATGTTAACCCTAAATAATTTTTTTTTTCAATGAACAATTATTTATTAACATGTGAACTTAAAATTATAAATTCGTGAAAATATAATTATAAAAATTTAAAATTATTTTATCAAAAAAATATGAACTGTACTTGATACATTTTCTCACCAAGGATAATTGTATTTTTTAAAAAAATATATTTGTAAAAAGGGTTCCATGTAAAATAATTTCAAAATATATTTTGTCCCATGTAGCTTTAGGCGCGATTTCGGGGGGAAAAAAACAGAAGGGAAAATAGGGCGACAAACCAAGAAAGGCAAGGCAATAAAGACGACGCAGCATGAGAGACTGACCTGTTCGGACACATGACTTTTGATTTTTGAAATATACTTTTACATTTTTTAAATGTAAAATGTTGTTTGAGAATTTTATGGTTGGATAAAATAATTTTTTAGATGTATATTAAGAAAATTATTAGAAATAAATTTGAGAATTTAACTTTCTAAAGTTTTTTAAACTAGCTTTCTGGTGTTGAATTTTTAAATTTATTATATTATTCTTATTCTTTTATAATATGTATTATGTGTTCTGTTTTATTAAAATTTGAATTTAGTACAATAGTTATAAAGTCAAATAAATTATATGAGGAGGTATTTTACAAACTTTCTGTATATAAAAAAGAGATATAATAATATTTATAAGGTATGATATTTAATATTAATGATTGTTAAACTATTTATATAATTTTTTTAATATTACACTTTATATTTTTTATTCTTATTATTTAATATATTAATTTTTACATTATTTTAAATTTTTTAATATATTATATTTATATAATAAAAATTACTCCCTCCATTAAAAAATGTAAGACATTTTTAACCGAATTACACCTTTTAATAAAGTAGTTACCTACTTTTTAACTAACTCTATCTTTTCATATTTATCCCTATTAAATACTCTACAATAAATATAAAGTTACTGTTATTATCAATAGGGGCACTTTTGAAAAAAAGGCAATGATTACACCTTCAAAGATTAAAAATGTCTCACATTTTTAAATATCCAACTCCTCAAAAAATGCCTTATATTTTTAAATGGAGGGAGTATAAATTATCATAAATCAATATTCTTTTTTATTATTATATATTTAAAAGTATATTTTTAAAATATAAATTATTATTAATTTAAACAATTTTTAATTTATAAATTTTATTACAGTAAAGGATTTTATTAAACTAATTTTCGTTCAATCAATTTTTTATAAAATAAACTTTTAACAAACTCAAAAACAAAAAGACACTGACAGTTGGGTCTTCGTCAGCCAAGCTAAACATTGAAAGTCGGGGGCTTTCGTATCTGGATTTTCGGCTTTCGTCAACCGAGACGTCAATATCAGCGACGATCGGTGTTTCTCGTCTGTTAGTCTCCCTCTATTCCCCTTCTACTTATTTCTAACGTTTATAATTGCATCATTCTGAATAAGGACACAAGTGACGAGATATGAGCAAAACTTAGTCACGATTACGAAACCAAGCAACGGCTTTTGTGCAGAGCAGAGAGAAAATTTAAATGTTAGACTCTCCTGAGACTCTACGTCTTAAAATTTCCTAACTGGATATTATATAAAACTATAAGATTAGCTTTATGTCTCCAACAATCTATAACAGCTCCTTTTCTTGGTGTTTGCATGCATTTTCTTCCGCACTCATTTTTATTTTAATTCAGATTGTTGAAGCATGCCGAAGAGAAAGGCTCGAGGCCGAGGACGAGGAAGGCCAAGAAAGTTAAGTGGTGAGAAGTTTCATGAGAGTGAAGATGGTAGCTTGGACATTCCTGTTAATCCATCGGAGATGAGGGAAGTACGGGGAGTTTTTGGCTTAGAGCGGGAGTATGAAGCAGGTATATTTATGGATTAGTATACATCTTATCCTCCTGCTTTGTTGTATCCATTGATGTCCCACCTTCTTATTTCTTCTTTCACAAGAAACAAACGTGGGTGAGATTGCGAGGTGCATATGTATGCTATTACTTGTCTTATATCTAGGATTCTTTATATGTTTTTTTTTTTTTGCCATAAGAAAACTTGGAGGCATTTAAGCTAATGCTTCTGGTTTTATGTTCATTTGTGTTTGTTTGTTAAAGATACAAGTACCCAACCTAAAAGAATAAGACTTGGAGAACCTAGAGCTCTAACAGTTCTGAGTAAGTTCGAAGAGAGTACGGATGGCAACGTAGCTAGTCCAGCTAATCCATTAAATCTAGCAGAAGTTGGGGCTGGCCGTGGGGAGGTCTCAGGGCCGCAGGAAGCTGGTAAAGTTACAACTTTCATTTGTATCAGTATTTATCTTATCTTCCAGCCGTATATTGGTATCCCTTCTTTCTTGTCTTTAATGATAGAGGATTAGTTCTAAAATGCATATGCTATATGTTTTTTCGTATAAACTTGTTTTTATACGTTGAATGTGATGTTTATCCATATTAAAATGTATTATCAAATTGCATCAACATGAATATGTTGACATGGTGCTAAAACTTGTATTATATCCAATATGTTCTCTTTCTTCAACAGATAACACAGCATTGAGAAAAAGACATGGACGACTAAAAGGGTCATCAAGTTTGAATAAGTTCCAAAGGAATGCAATGGTAACGTGAACATTCTAAATAATCCGTCAACCTCTGTGGAAATACGTACTGACTTTGAGGAGGAGCAGAAGGAAGGTATAGTTTATGTTAAATATCGTTTATTTGGATCTTGTTCTCCTGTTTACTTTTACTGCTTCTTTCTTCTCTCTGATGATATTATTTCTTCACTCCTGTTTACATATGATTTTGAAATGCTATGAAGCATTTGGTTTATGTTTTTCATATAGAAACTTTTGTATGCTGAATTTGATGCTTATCCATGTTTAAAATTTTGTTCCACATGGCATGACTTAATTTTTAAAGGACTAGAATAATTTGATAAAATGGTCAGTGCCTTGGGTTTGCTGGTTCTCCAGTTTGCCATCAGAACATTGATTGGACCATTTTTTTTTTTAATTGCTCCTTTTTAACCTTAAATGCCTGATGTCATTTATCTTGTCATTCTGTTGCTTACTTTTTGTCGGGGGAGGGGGAAATTGGGAACCGCTATACATGCCTACAGTGTAACATGTCTCATACTCTACTTCCCTATATGTTTGGTGTTTAAGATATGGATACCACACTTGAGAAAAGGGGGCGAGGACAGCCAAAAGACTCTATGGGTAAGAAGAGTAAAGATAGGGCTGATGGAAATTCAGGCACTTCCAATAATCAATCAAACTTACAGGAAGTAGGTCATGGATGTGAAGAGGAGCAGGAGGCAGGTATACTTTATGAAATACTTGCAAATAATTAATACAGTTCTTTTTCTCTGGTTTACTTCTTTCTCTTTTCATGATGGTTTTCCAATATTTATTTGTGCCTAATGTGACACTTATCCGCGCAAGAAAACTATCAACCAATTTTTATATTGTGCTTTCTATCTCTCTCTTTGTTCTCTCATGCTAAGTTACAGTTACACTGCCTCAAAGAAGGGGACAAGGACGACCAGAAGGCTCAACAGCTCAGCAGATGCATCAACAGAACGCAGAAGGAAAGTTGGACGTCCTCATTTATATATGTAAAATATGATGGCTGGAGGTCCTGGCTGTAAATATGATATCTTATACTTTTCCCCCACCTTTTGTGTTTCAGATTTATGCACTGTGCCTAAGAAAAAGGGAAGAGGACGGACAAGGGGGTTGAGGGTACAGATGAAGCGTCAACAGAGTGCAGATGGAAAGTTGGATGTTCTCATTCATCCTACAAAGATGGTTGCTGTTGGTCCTGGACGTAAAGATTTCATTACAGATCTTTCTGTCATTGTTCGCCAGAATGCTCGTCATAATGTGTACAATTGGAAGAAAGTTCCAAAGAGTGTAAAGGATACAATAGTGCAAAAGATTCTGGCAAGTTATTCATGCTTCTTTTGGGGATCATAGTTTAACTTAAAATAGTACTATCTTTAGAGTTATCTTTCCTGGCTCTTGTGGATATCAGTCTCTGGTTTCCTGAATAAACTAGTTTTTCTTTTTAAATGTTGAGGAATTGATAAAAATATTTTGTGATAATATCTTCTTTTTGGTTTCGGATATAGTGTTGTTTACGCTGTAAATCCTTCTTAGTTGCAAGACTTTATTCATTGCTAGAATCATGATTAATTTCTTTATGCCCATACTCTTTGGAATGCTTAAGCGATCTCCACATTCTGTTTTTTTTTTTTTTAACTCTTAATTGCAGCACTTAGTTAAAGCTATGCTAAGTTATTGTCTCTTAATTCATGCTTCGCATGTTTTGGAATCTTGAGATAGGTCTTCCTTGTGATATGGCTCGATATTTCAGAAAATCTGCTCATGATCTTTTGACTTTTGGCATGCTGGGTTCATTCTTATTATATGTAGCGTCGATATTTTCTGGGAATTAAGGAGGCAAAATTTGTTATGTGACATGCTCCGTTTACATTTATCCGGTCCATTTTGTTGGATTATAATCCAAGAGCTTTTAAGGTAGAAGAAGGAAAGGGAAACTCTTGTCAATTTATGAAATCAGATTCTAACTTCATGAACTAAGCCAAGGGAAATCTCCATAGAATTCACTGAATATCCATGTTTTATCGTTCATTCTTCCACAATACATATATATATATATATATACTGACATAACTAACTGACAAGGACACATAAGCCGTACAACCTACCAACTGACTCGTTAGATAACCAGCATCTGTCACTAAATGCATAAATACGTCTAGCCTAGCAAATTTCTTTGGCTGATCCAACTTGACCCATTTTGTTGACAGAAAGAAATCTTGGCCCATTTGGCTGGTCTGAAACTAGCTTTAAGGTTGTGCGGTTGTCTGTACACCCCCAGAAGCTGGGATGAAGAGACTTATTCTATCGTTGCATCCTTTCCATCTTTTTCATCTTAAGAGGGTGTCTTATCCTCTGCTTTCATGTTTGTTTTCTTACATGGAATTTGTACTGGTGTTTTCGTTATTGTTGTAGGATAATTGGAGACTTCCTGATACAGTTCTGATTCGGAAGGCTATAGTAGATAAAGCAGGTCGATTGTATAAGAATTGGCGCAGCAGGCTTCATAATTATTACTTAACATTTAAAACGAAGGAGGCGGCTCTAAAGCATGTCCCTGATGATATCAATGCTTCTGATTGGCCTATCTTGGTAGATTATTTTAGCAGTCCTGCTTTTGAGGTACAAGACTTTAAGCTTCTCTACCTGATACCCCTGCGCTATGGATCTCAATATCAACATGATGCATAAAATGTTGCTTTTCTACCACCAGAATGCTCAATCATGCTTGCGGGGCAAAATCCTTTCACGCTGTCAGCTATGATGCTGTGAGATTTCAATCTCAACCTAACTTGTGCTATTTCTCATCAATCTGTATTTCATTTTTCTTATACTGTTCAATATAATTTGTTCATAATGCACTTTGATAGCGGGACATGGTGACTGGCGAGGAGCCAGATTTGCATACATTGTGGCAGTTAACACGCAAAAGGGCAAGTGGTGAATGGGTTGACGAGGCATCTAAAGAGATACATGTAATTAAAAACTTAAATAACTCTAAATTTTTTTAAATTTAATTATGTGATGTTTGTCGTTTACTTTCTATGCTTGACTTCTATGTTGATTAACTGTAGGATAAGGTTGTTCAACAGATTGGTCAGTGCTCTGGGAATGAAATTGCAAGAATTGAACCAGAAATTATTGAATCTGCCTTCATGTCACTTGTAGGAAAGAAATCAAACTCACACAAGCGAGGTATAGCATCAGGAAGCTCCATTAGAAATCAAGTTAAACAGCTACAAACAGAGTTAGAGGCCCAAAAGAAGGAAACAGAGGATGCTAGAGAAAAGTATAACGAGGTTAGAGCGAAGCTAGTCGAGGTTGAGTCCCAACTCATGGAGGAACATAACAAGCGAGAGGAGTTAGAGGTACGTTTAGTGGACCGTCAGAGAGAGATGGATGAGATCAACAGCCAGGTCCAGAGAGCCATTCAAGCTGCATTGTCACAGCCAAAACCACTGGTAAGTTTAAAAACTTAACTTTCTGTTGAAAGTTCAGTTCGTGTAACCATTTAGCTTGAAAAAATTTTCTTCGAAATCAACATTGAGAAATTCATGGCACTGTATTTTCAAGCTCGTTAAATGATGAAAATGGTTTGAAATAGGTTGATCATTATGCAGGATTGAATTATTTCTCTATTTAAATACATGAAGTCTATGACACTAGTGTTTCTGCTACTACATGCCATTAACCTGCCTATCTTGACAAATAGACGACTGAAGATGGGAATTCATCAACGCATCACAGAAAGATCTCGGAGGCTTGAAGCACGACTTCATGAGGCAGAAGATGTGATCACAGGACTTGGAGGAGAGTTACGAAGGCTTGGCATGCGTTAGGAAAGTGAAAATGTGAACAGTCCTAGGAGCTTCATGAAACAATGAATGTCTATCTATGCTCACTTCACATCCTAACTTTCATAATTTTCTTATATTTTTCTCTCCAAACATATCATGTACATAGGCTTATATGAACGTAGAAGATTTAGATTACATTTTATGCTGCTGCTATTTTTTTTGCCCCCAGTTATTAGTTCAAAAGGACAGTTTGTCATCTAATTAATAATTGAACAACTCCATAATGATAAAATCAGCGGTCTTCACATCAGTTTCTATTCATCAAAAGCAAAAGAAACCCTAAGCATATACTCCCTTCAATAAAAAATATAAGGCATAACCGAATCTCACCTCTTGATAAAGTAGTTACCTACATTCAAATTAATCTTATCTTTTTATATTTATTCCTATTAAATACCCTATAATAAATATAAAGTCATTCATCAATAGGGGCATTTTTGAAAGAAAAAAAAAAGGCAATGATTATACCTCAAAAGATTAAAAATGTCTTACATTTTTTAACATTCAACTCTTCAAAAAATACATTACATTTTTTAACAGAAGGAGTAATAGAAATATGCATTGGATCTCTGAGTAGAAATATGTATTGGATCTCTGAGTATGAGACAGAAGTTAAGGGCCGCCCTCACATTCAACTAATTAAATGCATTTGTGCATATAAATTTGCTTTCACGACTTCGATATTTATCGTGCTTGAAATTTTGCTGCTGTATACTCTCACTCATCCTCTGCCAGTCTGCTCATGTATGCTCCTTCTTCCTCTTAATGCTGTGAATATCACTTTCTGTCGAAATTCACTTATACATCAATATCAACATATCATATATTATCAGGTTTATTATCATTACCTCCTAATTACAAATAAATAATTAGGAGGTAATAATAATAAACTTTGTTGCTTAAACAACTTTTGCACGTTACATGTTAATATGTATTGGTTTAAGCTTTAGCTTTTAATAAACTACAATTTTTTGGCCCACACGTCACATACTATAGTGGTTAGCATTTCTTGAACTAGCCAACTGTACACACACACACAAGGGTTATGGCTAATTCATTTACAACACACAAACACACACACACACACGAGGGTACGAGGGTTATGGCTAATTCATTTACACACACACACACGCGAGGGTTATGGCTAATTCATTTATACATCAGCATCAATGTCATTAATATCATCAATATATCATATATGTCAAAATGGTATAAGCCATGGCTTGCAAAAGACTCCTCCTCTATTTACTGACCCGGTGGCTTAATGAATAGTACCGGCTTCTGTCTTGAGCTGCACAGAGAGCTTCAGAAAAATTCCCTGTCCTTTTTTTTTGTCATCTTTTTAAATTCCTTTTAAAAGAAAGTTGTGAATAGTTTCGAGCTCCGTTTACATTCTCATGATGTGATGGAACAGAAAAGCAAGTAAAAGGTGCGAGAGAGTGCGGAAAGAAGAGGAAGAGGCAGAAAGGAAAAAGGCAACGAGAGAGAGCCAAGAGAAGAAGGAGGGTCTTGATTTTTAAATTCCCACCCGTCATTTGAGGAGGACTCTGGTCGACGCTCTCAAGCAGTCATAGAGCTGACCAGGAAGATTCGAGATGGTGAAATTGGGTTCTACTACTCATCCCATGCCATGACCCATTAGCTCTCCTGTTTATTTTGTCCGCTCTAAGAAGGTACCCCGGCCTCTCTCCTCTCCCTGATCAAATCTCTTCCTTGCCGCCTGTTCCCTGCCGCCGTTGAGCTCAGAAGACTCAGCCGTTAATTATTGGTGAGGCGTCGGGGACTTGGTAGAAAAATATTTGGCAATGGTACAAACATGGGTCCATAAAAGGTTTGACTTTCAAAAGAATGAAGGGCATTGACTTTCTGGAGTACCAATCACCACTTAATTCCTTACAATCATTCTGAGGCATACTTTCGTCAGAATCAGACAGTGATAGTGCTCAATTTGCATCGTCCCTCTTCTCTTTTATATTCAAGGGCGTATTTAGCTTGAAGGTATTAGCCATAATTTATTTTATTTTTCATATCCTTGTTCTTTTATTCCATTTTAATAATGCCTAATAATGCCTTAATCCCAATCTGCCATCCCCACAAGTCTAGGAGAGAGAGAGTATGGTCTTCAAATATTTTGAAGTCACATTAAAAGGGAAAGGTGACGGGAAGAAAAAACGGTGCTTCTTCTTCTTTTTTTGGAATACAAAGCCACTACTAAACCATGCAGAAAGACTAGAGTTTAGTTATGTCTAAAGCCAATAAGCATCAACAATCATGTAGAGGAATATCATAAATTGTAGTAACAAAATTATCATCAAGTGCCTGATACGCTAAGTGATCAACACATCTATTTGTTTTTTTGTGCATATGATCAAAAGTAATCACCCAATCCCTCAGGGTGAGTTCTCTAATATTTTTGATAATGTCAAATAATGGATGGTTATTAGAATAATTATAGATGATGAAAGATAATGTCTCCATCGAGTCAATATGAACACTAACTTTGGAAACCTTTTATTCCAGCAAAGGATAAGGCCTTTGTGGATTCTTATGAGCTTAGCTATAGTGCTGGGTAGATATTCAATATGCTTGAAAAAATCTTTGATCCAATTTCCTTTGAACGATGCTTCTTTGAACAAACCACTCTTGCTCAGATGAAAGTAGCCTCAATTACTTTTCTGCCCAACCACTCTTGTAAAACAAACATAATTGCATTTTGTTCGGATGTGGTGTTGTTAGTGTTAGGTACTGTGTATTCTAATTTAATGTTGATAAAGTAGAGCAACAAGGAACCATATATATGGTGCAGATCTTTGGATGGTTTCAAGGTTTAGCCTTAGTTGTTTTTTGTTCTTGCTATTTGATTTGGATTGTCCCAGCATGCATGCGCTACCAGAATACCTTTGCTGGCTTAAGTTGTGCATGGAATCCATACGTTTCTTAGCTTTTTTTTTTTTTTTGAAAGTAATAAATTGTGCCTTTGCAGCCTGAAACACCCATTTTCTAGCATTCAAATCCTATTGCTCTGTTAATGCCTTTTCCATTCCAGTGACACAATTTGCAATTGACATGATTAATTTTTTTTTTTAACCCAGATCATTATTTATTCTGCGCTGGAAATACATGGAATCTGATTTCTCAAGATTGGTTTAGCTGTCACAAATTTGAGGAGCTTTTGAGGAGTCAGACTGTAATTTTAGGGATGATAATCCATAATTACCAGCTATATAATTCATGACTGCTAAAATAATTTATAGTATGAAATTATTTTCATTCATTAGATAAGGTTGAAGCTGACAAATGATTTTTTTTATATAAATTTTAATTCTAATGGGAAATAATTTTTCATTCTCATGACCTCTTTCTCTCTCTCTTCCCTTCCCCAAATTCGCAGATGAAATGTAAAATACTTATATATTCTCGTGGTCTTTTTCACTCCCTTTACCCTTGGATGCTTTTCCTCTTTTTCATTGTTCTTTGGTATGTAATGTTATTGCACGGTTGAAATATAGGTCCTGATTAATGATTATTAACAAGAAAATACTTATAGATAAGTTTTTTTATTATTTTTCTTTAATATGTAATGTTATTGCACGATTGGACAAATATTTTTGCCACTTAGTGATTAGAGAAGTTAAGTTGTTGCTACTTGAGCAATATTTAGTGAATAAATAAGTTAATTTAATATTATTTTTTTAATATCATTTCTTCATTAATAATATTTTTTTAATTTTCTTTTTTATATTTAAAGAAGTACATTTTTATTTTAGTTCCTTCATGTAATCCATTTAATACAAGTAATCATAATTTAGACTTTCTTGGAGCAATGTTTGGTGATTGGACAATTTTTTTTTTATCGACTAGTGATTAGAGAAGTGAAGTTATTATTTGAGCAATATTTAGTGATTAGATAAGTTAATTTCATATTATTTTTTCATAATATCATTTTTATTGATAATATATTTTTAATTCCATTTTTTATATTTAAATAATTCATTTTTATTTTATTTCTTTCATATTCATTTGCATTGTAAGTGTAATGATATGATTTAAATGTCTATGACATTTCTTTGTAAAACTCCATTCGTTCAGATGCCATATTCATTGTTCTATCATTAGTTGAGAATTGCAAGACAATTTTTTAGTCAGGCACCATATTGTAATTTTTTTGAGAAATTATTGATTAATGATTATGTATTTTGTGCAGGAAATTACTGATTAATAAACTTAAATTGCTTCGACGAGTCTTGCTTCTTAAGGATCAATTATGAGGCGATTATGTTGTTCTCAATTATTTATGTAATTGTTGTTCAGTCTGTATTTTAATTTTTTTCTGGAGTGATTTTATTGATTAAAGTCATAGAGTTAGCAATCACATGTGTGTGTATTTCATGATGATTGTATTATATGCTTATCGTGTTTTTTTTTTGGGCCGACATATACTTCTCGTGCAACGCGTACTAGTTGATCGGAAAGAGAAAAAAGAAAAGAAATTCATGTACCCCTAAGTATTGGTTTGTTTTTTGTCTGTGAATTGACCGTATTGTGAGTATGTTTTCATTTAAATAAATGAAATTTTCAAGTAATTTTTGGATTTAGATTTGATTATTGTATTTAGTCAAGCATTAAATACTTGCATCATTTAAATTATTGAAATTCAGATCAATGGTTTTAAATTCATATTCTGTTTGAAATTAATAGTGAGTAAATTTATTTAAACCATTAATATATATATATATATATATTTTAACGATTCAAATGAAACAGATACTAAATGCCTACAATTGTTGGAGCTTTAAATATATGTGTATATATATATATATATATTCTTTTATTTTTCTAACATTACACGAAGCTTTAAAAATAAGTCGTGCTATTCATTGCTTGATATTAATTAATAATAATTATTATGTATAAGAATTAAAATAAAAAATTTATTAAATTAAATTAATGTTATGCTTGGATGTGCATGGATTTAAATTTGAGCCAAATCTGTATTTAGGCAATTAAAAATGTGTGGATTTAGATTTGACTCAAATTTAATTCCAAATCCAAATCCTATCTCAATTCCTTTGTAATTTTAAATTTTTTCTAAACCTCTATTATTTTTAATTTCAATGGC